GAAATGGAACAGAAGAAGAACATACTTGTAAGTGCATTATGCTTCCGAATAGTATAATTCTACCATTTGAAGATGAAATCACATCTTTAAAAATTTTGATACATCATGTTTTTCCAAATATACAGGCATATGTTGACAATTTACATAATATGATAAATAGAGTTATTCTTACACCTATGAATGAATGTGTTGATTATATTAACAAGATTTTACTCGAACAAATTCCCGGTGATTTTTCCACATACTATAGTTTTGATGAAGCAATTGACAAATCGGAACAAAGCTTGCACGAAGATTTCTTGAATACTTTGACACCAAATGGTATTCCACCGCATGAATTGAAACTTAAGGTAAATTGTCCTGTAATGTTATTACGGAATATTAATCCTTCCGAAGGATTATGCAATGGAACACGCCTTACTTGTCGAAAATTTGAGAAAAACGTAATTCTTGCTGAAATTACAACTGGTGAGTATTGTGGGAAATATGTTTTCTTACCAAGGATCCCTTTTATACCTCTTCAAAGTGATCGAAACTCAATTCAATTTAAGAGAACTCAATTTCCAATTAGACCGTGTTTTGCAATGACAATAAATAAAGCACAAGGTCAAACACTTGATTTTGTTAGTCTATATCTTCCAGAACCAGTTTTCTGCCGTGGTCAGCTATATGTAGCATTATCAAGAGCAACAACGAGCACATCTCTAAAAGTTTTATTGAAACCATCAAGCATGGACAACTCACATAATATATGTACTAAAAATATTGTGTACAAGGAAATTCTTTCGTTTATACATTCATATACCTAAAATGTTTGAACAGGTATATTTTTTATCTTCGAGAAATTTTTATAATATGTTCTCGTACAATAGTTTCCTCAATATTAAATACATGAGCATTATCAAGAGCAACAACGAGCACATCTCTAAAAGTTTTATTGAAACCATCAAGCATGGACAACTCACATAATATATGTACTAAAAATATTGTGTACAAGGAAATTCTTTCGTTTATACATTCATATACCTAAAATGTTTGAACAGGTATATTTTTTATCTTCGAGAAATTTTTATAATATGTTCTCGTACAATAGTTTCCTCAATATTAAATACATGAAAAATTATGTCGTTACTATTTTTTTCATTCTTTGCATTTGCCATAAAAAAATTTCACAGGTTTCATTATCGGGAATGAAAAGTTCTTTTTAATTCTTTGCTACATGTGTACAATGGAATCACTAACGATAGCTTCAATTACAACCTGCGTTTGCAAAAGGTATGATTCAAATTTTTTAGTGTTAGTTTAATAGTTTGCCAGATCGATAACTAATTTACTTTAGTAAAATTTCAAAATAAAAAGTAATTTCTCTATTTTTAGAATATATTTACCCTTAAGAGTTTCACATTGTCACATAAATATTCTTCCATCAGTTAAATGGTGCTCTTATGCCAATTATTACAATGTTCAACTTTGTCAAAAAAAAAATTAGTATAATTATGGATTTTATGGAAACTCAATTTCAGATTCCCTTATTATCAACTTCAAGTTGTTTCCCCTCATATATTTTACAGTCTTTCACATTTAAGATATATGTAATTAATACTATTTCTACTACCTCTTAAAAGAGGGGGTTTATATTACTGTTCATTTATATCACAGCCATTTACACCCACTGTTCCACAACCGTTTTTTCTACAGTTCACATTTTTTTGAATAAATGAAACAGAATCTCCTTTCTTAACCCTAAACAAAACTCTAGCTTGCTTTCTCAAAACTCTTGCCCTTGTTCTCAAACTTTCAGATTTTGCAACCCGACAGCTAAAGGAGAGATCCATTTGAAGTACACTTGAAATACACTGTCTATGTTCTTGACAATGGAAGAAGGAGGCTTTTTCTATTATTCAACTTTTGTTTACGGTAAGGGCCTAGCTCTTCTTCTTCTTCTTCTTTTTTTCTTTTCGAGTTAGCGGAGGAAGGTGAAAATGAAGAGTATAGGACGACGATGGTCACTATAGTAAATGGCAGAAGAT